AATTGTCATTTTGACGGATTGAAACTACATGAGACGGTTCAGAAATGTATTTTGCTTCAGTGACATAATAACATCATTTGCTTTTAGTTGTGGCAGTAGCTTCATGATCAAATGTCTTCATCCCAAATCCCTGTGGGGTTCTGTCAGACTTAGATGAAGTGATTGTGTCGGCCATTTGGGAAAAATTCCGCCCTTGTCATATTGAAGCAAGCTGTCTAGCATAATGTGAGGTTTATCAAGCTTTCATTCGGACCAGATGTGCAAGGAGTCATGGTAAAAATCCACCTTTAGGTAAAAATCCACCTTGAGGATCTTTTGTTCAGACAGTCGATAGGCCTGAGGCTCGTCACCCAGTCCTCAGTTTCTCTCAATTCATTTGCAATGTAAGGCACAACAACATGACATCAGCTATGGGGAGTTGCGCTACATTCACGTTGTGACACTCCCCAGGCTACAGCAACAACTCCATGCAGCATGAATCTGCTCACTTCAACTCTTGCATCGAAACGAGGGTTGAGAACATTCAAAGATCATCCAATCTTCATTTATGGCGCTGTTCTTGAACAACTGAACCACACTGAGGCCTTAGCAGAGCTCCCACTCAGGAAGAAACAGGAAACGAATGGGGACAGTGAGAGGTGGCCCTTTGCCCTGTACAGATAGTAAACAGATATTTGTTAAATGCTGTACCTAGTCAGATGTCGTCTGAAAAAGCACCTCTTAGTTCATAGTTCGCTGATCGTGTGTCCAGAATTGCTCCAAGTAACAAGGGTATGTTGATCATCCGTGTCAGTATAAATATAAATGGGATAGCAGCTGCTGTGTTCGCAAGAAGCCTCTGCTTTCGATGTGGCTGCTCCCTATTCAGCAGGGGTCTCCAACTCTGGGCCTGGAAAGCTACTGTCCTGCCTGTTTTCCAGCTCTCCCAGGAGCAACACACCCGATTCAAAAATCAGGATCGTTCTAATGCTGCTTCAGAGCTAATTGTGTAAATCAGGTGTGTTGCAGCTGGGAGAGCCGGAAAACAGGCAGGACAGGAGCCCTCCAGGCCCGGAGTTGGGCATGCCTGCTATACAGTAACTGTCGGGATTCCCCACATCATTTTTTTTTTTTTTTGTATTATAGTGCTATACAGTAGATAATATTATACCAGACGGATGAATCTGCAGGCATATTTTCAAGACCACATTCTGTGTTGTAAAACCTGTCATCTCTTCAATTAATCTCGAGGACCATTCCCACCGCGGTAGGCGGTGGCGTCCGGAAGTGAACATGTGGCGCAGTTTAGCGTGCTAATGCCTTGTGTTTTTAACGGACGTCTTGTGGGAGACACCGCATGGAAGGCGACCAGGATGCTGAGTGTGGGCCAGCAGAACATGCTGAACGTTCGAGTGCCGGAGAACTCTTGTAATCACAAAACGTCCAGAGGGAAAACTTCAGTCCAAGACCCACAAGGCGTAACGGGGATGCCAATTGATCCTGAATAAGCCAAATGTGTTTTTGCTGTAGGGTTCGTTTATTTTCACAATGTAATCCTTGTTAATTTACTGACTATGGTTTGGCATGGGGGAAAGCGTTTACCTCCCCTTCAGCTAATCGGATGTGTTACAGTTTACAGTTACACTCACGAGAGAATTCTCCTTATGTGCTCGTTTGGAGTTACTTGGGATCATTCAGTTGTCTTACGTTTTAAAGAAATATTTGAAAAAAAAAAGAACCGGGTTAACACATGTATTAAAACATTTTTCTTGATGTCAAATATGCATGGCCAATAAAAACAAACAAAAAAAAAAACATGTTAATAGTGACTACCTCTCGCAGGGGCCATTTCTGACCATTTTTGAAATTAGCTCTGCTGAGCTCTGTGAGACTGCCTGATTAAGTCCTATGAATAGACCGTATTTTACAGGATTAAAAATGCCTTATCTTTTGGGACCCAAATTTGTGAATACATAGTTTGCTTGCGGTACTAACGTTAAATTGAAATGATCCCATGCTGTTTATCTGATTAATACAAGCAGAACATGTCACCGTTAGCCTTTTGCGTCGATAAAACATCGTGCACGTCGCAAATCGCCCTTTTCAGCACAGTTGCTGTTTGGATTGTTTTAGGGATTACTTCGCTAAATATACTTCTGGACAAGCGGGAAGGTTTTGTTCCCGCGGTATTATATTTTAGCCACTGGGCAACTTGTCGAACACGTTTCAATATTGGCAATGATGGTGGTCAGATGTTACCGGTCGTCACTGTGTCACAGGTTAAGCTCGCTGGCAGAATAATGATTGGGTGGGTGTGCATGTTTTGGCCCATAAACTACAAGTTTTGGGAATCATAATGCTTATTTCAGATTATTTACAATCTGAGAGTCATGCTTTTGGACACCCGTGGTTGAAATATTGCTGCCATGTCCGCCCTGAACGTAATGAAAATGTTATCAGCCAGCCAAATGATGATCATGATCTGAATGGGCAAATAAATTATTGTGGGGGGAGCCGAGCTCCAGACGAGGGGCACTTTGGCCCTGAATTTAAGATTTTGGGGTCACAAGCAAAATATTTTTGGGTGCACACTGAAAATACACTTGCAAAGTAAATATACACATTTCTTCTCGTGTGGACTTGATTACTGAGAAATGCTTTGATGATAAACAACCAGTTAATAAATTAAACCACTTAAAAACTAAAAATGTGCACTTATTGTTTATTGCCAGTGCCAGAGTTATCCCCAAGACATTGTTAGCATGTGTCTCCTAGATTTACTGTATGTGGGCGAAATTACGCACTGATGGTCTTTTTCACAATTGTTCTTTTTTTTTTTTTTTTTTTTTACAAGAGCGATGCAAAACTGGTTGCTTCTGTTCACACATTAACCAATCACAGTGGTCATTCCACACACATTGGGCCGCCACCTTCATCTTTGTTGTTGGTCTCCTCTCTTCTTCTTTTGGAGTTCATGTTGGTTGATAAAGCATCTCATTTGCACATTATCCCCAACAACTGGGCTTGCAAGACTTGAGCAGAACTTTGTCAGCAGCAATAAATATAATAAATGAATAAATAAATAAACCCATAAATAAGTCTGCAAATTTACTAATTGCACATGCGTCAGTAGATGAACGATTTACTCAGACTGTCTGAGTTTTTATGGGCCCGATGGGACCATTTTGGTACTATTGATAACTGGATGCTGCATTTTATGACAAAGTGTTCACCACTTCTGAAGTTGTTTTACAAAGTGCATCGTATATAATATCTTTGCTTTGACATCACCATCGCAACGATAAACGAGGTTCTTCAGGGCCCTGCAAAAACATCAAGCAATCAGATTTGGATGTCAAATACGACCTGCTGGTAATATCGGACTAGGTTCACAATTACACACAAATGCGCATGCCTTTTAGCATGACTGATTTGTGTAAATGCTCCCCTCCCTCATGTCACGTGTTGACAGCGAGACGTTGGGATGCTGATTCATCTGGCCGCCCAGGAGCTGCTTCCTCTTTGATTGTTTCTTCAAACACGAGACGCGTGCCGCTCGGGGAACATGTTGTTTGTTCTGGATTTCTTGGGAGACTCCTCCTGGGAGAGCCTCCTTCTTTCTGAGCAGTTGTTAAGATTATCAACAAAATCTGCCGCCATTCCCACAAGCAGATGCAGAGGAGCTCTCTTTCGGGACTGCATTGTGTAGCTCAAAGATGCACAAGTCCATTTTTCACTCGAGTTCTTGGCAGTTTGGGGCAAGTTACTTCCAAAAATGAATTGAATGTCATGATGCATTCTGGGTTACTTTGACTGGATGTGTTACCGTTCATTACAACTAATTGAATGCATGCTGAGCATTGGGCAATGTTAGGTCGATGTGAGTCATTTTAATAATTTCCCCTTTGTCTTTTATTCAAGGTTACCACATTAATTGAAAGCACCTTTTTCCACCATTTAGTGTTCGTTTTGAGTTCCGTAAACCCATTTTGGACTGTTTTCATCATTTTGGCCATGCTGTTTCTTGGCAGAGTGAATCGGTGCTTTTTGTTGTGTGCAACTTCTGTATTTGTCCAGTAAAGCATCAAAAGTTACTTGAAAAGCCTGCCTGACCGTACAGTCAAACACCGGCTGTCACTTCAAATCACAGCTGACCGAATCAATGGAAACCTGGGTGATTTATGATTTATGATGTGTTCACAGGTCTGGAGTAAGACAAATATCTCATAATGCACATTAAAGAGTTTGTAATGGGAAGACCATTGCAAATAAAAAAAAAAAAGTATTTGTAACTTAGACCTGAACTTGGCACCCACATTCCCTCATGGTCATTTGGTCATAACCCACAAGTCATAACAAGTATTGTTATTGTATTTATTTATTTATGTACAAAAATTGTCTTGCAAAACACACTTTTAAAAATAATTCATTTCATCTCAGTGAAGAACCACAAAAGTGCATTTATAATAATAACAACTGTAATATTAAATCTTTTAAAACAAACAAAAAAAAAGTGTGCGAGGAACCTTTTTTTCATGCCTGTTGCTATTTGTGTATTTGTCAAGTCCAACATCGGATACACATACGATGTTAAGTTTCTTTTTTCACCCCTCACTTATGGGTCCCACAGGTTGCAAATTGCTGCGTTGAATTACAGCGATAAGTGGCTGTTACTGTCGTTCTTGTTTTGCGGTCCTGCAAACGCAACTGTTTGCTTGGCCTTACTAGTTTATACACTCCAAGAGAAAAGAAAAAAAAAAAAAGAGAAACCGCTGAACATGAACTCCCCTGTTGCACACTGAGACAATTGAGCATGTGAGAGGTCCTGGCCAGCACTCTCATTGTTCTCTCCTTCACCCAATGTCAAGTAGCTCCAGCTTTTGTGTTTTTGCATTTGTGCGCTCACAAACCCTTGTAGCGGGGAAATGCAATTTGCCTTGAGTTGAGGCCTGATAGAATACGTTATCAAAGTACTAATGTTTTCTTTTTGTTTCTTTGTTTGTCCCCCCCACCCCCGATAGTGAGGAAGGACACAAAAGATGAGACTGACGACAGAATGACACAGTTTAAGAAGAAAGCAAAGGAGCTTCGCATTTTGGATCCGAAGACAGCGCAGAATCTATGTAAGTATATGGCAGTTGCAAACAGCCACCACAAACATCTATATATTGTGCGCGCTATTCGTACTTCCGCATGTGGAAAATAGATTCTTAACACAAGTGTGCCCTTGGGCTACATGTGAGCAATTTGAATCTCCCAAGGCCCGAATTGTTCGGTTTAATGGTGAATTTCCTCCACAGCTCATGGGCTCCCCTTTGTTTTACTGTGAAAGGAAGCAATATTACGTGGACATGGAAAACGACAAAAATATACAGGCCACCTGATGTCCTCCGTGTTTTTGCAGAACATTTTGTATTCCCTCGCAACAGAGGAAACCTTTTGGCAAATGATCAAGGTGTGATGAAGACACACAAACTCGCCATATGTTCCCAACATATGGACGACACAGGTGTCATGCATTCGCGGCTGTGACAATGCTCAGTTTTGCCAATGCCATCGCTCATTGAAATGTCAAAGCAACAAGAGGTTTGGATACCTTCAACGACAGTTAGCTTTGAGACTCGCAGTGTGAAAAGAAAGCTTTTTTGCCATACACAATATAAACCAGCTAGTTACATGTTTGAGGGCTGCATGTTCGAGTTGAGGTTACAGTGATTGCGATAGCCAGCAGGCCCTAATTAATGACAGTTATCAATGCCACTACAATATAATTTGACTAGAACCGATGTGTTGTGTTGTGTTGTACCTATCTTCACAAAAAATAGTGATGATTGATAAGCACATGAACAAAAAATAAGGCTTTTTTTTTTTTTTTTTTTTTTTTAATTGATGTTAGCCATGGCCTATCCAGGATGCATACGGAAAGCAAATTTCCATCTGTACTCCCTAGCAACTGTTCCACTTAGTGTGGGAATGCCACCTAAAGAGGCTAGCAGACTGTATTTCCAAGGAATTTGGCCCAAGGAATGTATTTACTGAACTGCAGAGAGCACCGGGTGTCTAAAATTTCTTCAAGGTTTAGATTTTTCAAAAGTAAAGTTTGAATCAACCACAACACTGTCAAATACACTGTATACCCCATACGCTGGAGGGCAATAGGGACCAAGCGAAAATCCGTATATGATTGACTTCCATTCAAATGTATTAGGGAGGGCACTATATATATATATTATTATTATTATTAAGCCCGTGAAACAATATGCATTTTCCATGAAATAAATGTAAATGATGGGGTGGAGGATGGAACACCTTGGAAGGCAAAAACAAATCGGAATATGCGAATTAGGGAGTGCCGAATCCGCGACTATGCGGGGTTCCACTCTCCAGAGGTCTTGAAAAATGTCACAACCTCTGTTAAATCAGCTGACAAAAAATAATCATAACTTGACATTTTTGGTTTGCTGAGGATAGAGAAACTACATTAAAATACAGTGAGTCACTGTGACAGATTGATACACATGCTACCTACATCATTTTTATTTTTATAAACCTGAAACTGTTTGGTGCTTTCTACCGTCTTTGTTAGTGATTTATTCCATGTTACAGCACTTTGTATACAGTGATGGCTATTTTAAAGTGCTCTATAAATACAATTGAGTTGAGTTGATTCTCGCGAGCTCCTCTCCAGCTTGTTGAGGACGTCTCTCTCCTCCAACACATGTGATTCAAGTGAATTCTCGTGCTTCTGCATAGGTTGCTGATGAATTGATCATTTGAATCAGGTTTGCTGGAGAACAGGTCAGGGAAGGGCTCTGGAGGACTGGACTTGGGCACCCCTGCCTGAATTCTTTTCAATGTTGACATGTTTTGCAGATTTGTTGCGCACCCAAAACTCCAAACTAAACGTTAGCCATACAGGTGCCACGTGTCCTCTGTATGCGGCGTCTGTTGTGTCAGTCATAGTCAGGGTGATATTTACTGCCATAAGGAAAGGGGTGTTTATTGGAGGAGTGTTACTTATTCAGGCATATAAACAATACACTGAGTGATTATTTGAAGAAAATAGGATATTCCCGAAGGCATATTTAGTGTCATCCCTGACAAACAGGCCTGATTTCTGTTATTGGTTTGTTTGCAGTACAGAGTGCCATAACTTCACATTTTCAACTGCCCACTGTAATACTTAAATGTTTTGATCTCACATTTCCACAGTCTGTTCCGCGGCGGGACTTTGTTCTCACGAGTGACATGCTAGCTGTTTTTTCATTTTGTTTCTGTAACGGGCTAAAATGTCTCTTTGAAACCAATGGCCCAACAGAACAAAAAGGAAATTGTGTTTCTCTCTGTCTCTACAGCAATTTTCTTGGGCTCGTTCCGCCTGCCTTATGACGAGATCCGAGAAATTGTGCTTCAGGTGGACGAGGAACGACTGAGCGAGTCACTCATCCAGGTAAGACGGATATTCAGCAGAGTGTGTCCGCGCCCTCCCTTCCGCGCATCCACACTTTACTGCCCCTAATTATGAACTTAAAGCAGGGGGTGTGTGGTCAGGTCAGGCAGGGGAGGGGAGGCAGAACCTCCGTGTCCCCTCTCCTGCATGTGAAAACGAAAGAAAGAAAAACTAATACTGATTGCATCAAACTGTGCTGGAAGCGCTGCCTCCCTGACCATCAATGCTTTTGCTGCCTTTATGGTTACTCGACATTTTCGTCACCCTCTCCTTCCGCAAGCAGTCCCCTCGCTATATCACTCTCAAAGTTAATAAAAAGCTGTAGAGTGTGCAGTGTGAGCAGTGGCACATTTACACGAGAAAGGATCACCCACCTCCCGAAGCAGACCAAGTTCAGCAAGTGTAAAATGAAATGTGTGAAAAATGTATCATTAGTCGTTGGGTTATTTTGACAGAAGCATGTCAGAGACATGTTATTAAGACACCTGGAAACTGTTTTAAATGATGAATATATTTCTAAATGCGGAAGCCGAGAGAGTCAAAACAAATGGTGGCTGGTTTCGCGAGCTCTGTGACCCCATTTAAAATACGCTGTGACCTGCGCTTGGCACAAGCCGGTCTCCTCATTGTCCGCTGGACCATGGAGACCCCACATTCATCGCCTCATAATGGATGATGAAGGACAGGGCTTGGCAAAGTCTACGTAACTCCACCCTCTTTTCCTCCAGCCTTTTGTCTTAAAGCATGATTGATGAGCTTGCTAAAGGCTACTTCTTTTTGCTCCATTTTTGCCGTTTTTGGCAACTCCGAACTCAACAAAAGTGTGCACGTGAGGTACAGATGCATCATTGTGCACTTCAGATTGTCACTAAGTTTAATCGGAGCCTATCCACAGAGCAACCCTACTGCGTCTTTGTTAAGTTCTGATCACTTTTAATTTGCTGTTAATTGAGCAGAAAATAAAGACTGAACAGTATGACACTGCTTTGCAAAGGTGAAAGACAATTTAGCTGATGATCTTTTCCCCACGTTTAGCTGTTACAGGGTGGAAAGGTGCCACATGCTCCTACTGTGTCCTTTCAAATGTTTCCATCCTTCATGCATCTTGTGTACTTAATAATAATAATAATAATAATAGGTGCCTTTCAGCGCACTCGAGGTCATCGTACGAGGAGTACACTCATTTAGGGCAGAATGAGGACTTCTATAAGGCATACACACAATAAAGTAATAAAGTAATAAAGTAACTCAAAACATGTTTTCCATGACTTGCATGTATTAATTAAAAAGTAATTGTGACACCACGGTCCACTCACGTGATACTCACATGCTAAGCATAGGTAAATAGTCACCAATTTATCATGTGTTAAAACCTGACAAAATCAATCTTTACCCATCTCTTTTAAATTCAAAATTATTATTTGTTTTATTGTGATGAGAGTAGTCGCCATCATCTCCCTGACAAGCAAGCCGGGGAAACTGATGAATGAAAGGAATAGCCAAAATGGAAAGAATCAAGGAAGCAAGGAGTGTTCATAATGCATCTAAAACTCTGGAACTCAATCTTATTATGCTCCTTCCCTGGTGACATGTCTAATGTAATGATTTGTCAGCAGAATGTGGCAGTGCATTGGCCTTGAAGTACCCCCACAATGTGTCACCCTGGCAGAATGGATAGATAGGAGTTGATTGGCTCTCCTTATTCTGCATTAGGGTCCATCAATGCCTCCGAGATGATGTACCCATGCCTGAATGCTGCCAGACAGACTCTCGGGTGCTCGCCATTCATCCAAACTCCCATTTGAATCCCTGCAACTCCACATATGCCCCCCACCACCACATACCTTCTTGCCATCCCTCCCCATGCAGCCTGCGTACAAACATATTTACACAACATGCAAATGGAAAGAATGTGTCAATTATGCCCTCTGCCTCGGGTGCCCACAGCCAAATTGTGCCATTTATCATCCAAGTGATAAATATGCGTAAGCTTTGTGCGTATGCTGGATGGGCAAACTGGCAGACATTTGAATGCAGTCCCACACACCCCTCCTATCTCATTTGTCGACATGATTCACCATGTTGGTGGATGGGGGTCACCCCTGTGTATCAGGTCAGCTCTATCAAATACACACCTTACTTCCATACATAACATCATACCTGACAACATGATGTAAATGTGGCAAATGCGGTGTCGGCCTCAAGGTCTGACACTATTCATCGGCGAAATAACGATCCTGTTTTGTTATTGGTGTTTCGGGGGGATCGCTTGCCTTGCATGGTTTTTATTCATAGCAAAACCATGCCCGTGACCTTGCCGTCATTTCATTATTTTCTGCACGGCTTTTTTGCTTTCCTCAAAAGGGTCTCCTTCTCCTTTTCCTTATTTGCCCAAGGGAAAAAAATATGAACTGGCCTTATGATTAACAATCATTGCCAAAAGAGCATAATAACAGCAACGGATTTTATTTTGCAGGTTTGTCAGAGTTGTCAATTAGACATTCAAAATAAAGATCCAATAAGTAGAGATGACACTCAGTACCAATCTCTGGAGGGGCAAACGGAGATAAAGCAGTTGGTTTCAGTTCTCTGCACGTCACCCACATATCTCCCCGATCTTCCTCTCATTCATTTCTAATTGGGAGTCTAATACACGGGTGTGTCCACCCTAAAGAGTGAGGGCTGTTGAAGACACACTGAACTTGTTTGACTGTGTCTGTGTATGTGAGTGAAAATTACGTGCATGTGTGCAATCATTACAAAAACATCAAGTAAGCTGCAGTTGGTGTTGACAGCTCCATCCACGTCTGACCTTGCTCTTGTTTTGTCTTATCACCTTATCTCGTTCCAACCGCATTCTTGGAAAGGTGGTTGTGTCCCCTAACTGTCTCACAGTGCACAAAGCATTCTTTATGAGCATACATTGATTAAGAGCAAAAAAGCATTCTTCTTTGCGAGCATAAACAATTCTTCGTTGCGAGCATAAGCAATTCTTTGTTGCAAGCATAATCAATTCTTCATTATTAATATACAAATGTATGACAACTAAAAGACATAATTATTCCTTCACTGCTGGCAAGATTTAACTGTTGCCTCACTTCACTAATAACCGCCGAGTGTCTGACCAAAGCCACACCCTGTCATTCACGTGCACAAGCCCAATTCTCCAACTTGCTCATTCATCATGGCATGTGATTATTAAAGATGAAAGTCCTCCGGATTTCCGGATTTTCAAATTTTCATGAAATTGCCTAAAATTGCCGAAAATTAATCCGGATATGAGTTGACAACATTGAACGAACACGCGTTTGAGTTCGTTGTTTTGCTTTCACGAGCGTAGCCATGTTGAGGCACGAACACTAGTCACAGTAAAACCCCTCCTCTTGCATTCTCATGGCCTCGCCATATCTCGGAGACTCCGAAATTTCGGCGAGAACAGAAGCCACAAAGGGTGCACGTGTGCACACAAAAGGGAGATTAATCAATGAATGTCGAGTATTTGAATAGCGTTTTGTGTTAACTAATTCATGCGTGATCGGCCAGGTAGACAGGCAAGCTGACATACGTGCAACAGACGCGAGTGTTAGGAACAAGTTCAAGTGGTCATGGCTTGAGGAAAAGGACTTGAACGGAGATTCTTTTGTCCCACGACATTAGAAAGGTCGACAAACCTGGTAAGTCAGTTAAAATCATTTATATATACCTGTGTGTGTGTGTGTGTGTGTGTGTGTGTGTGTGTGTGTGTGTGTGTGTGTGTGTGTGTATATA